CCTATACTGACAATCGGAATTGCAATGCGCCATCTTACGGACGTTTCAAATGTATCATGTATTCCGCAAATTTACGATCATTTCGTTGGCTGAATGAAAATGATGCGCGTTTTCTCTTCGTCCGACATCAATTTATTTCAGAGGCTTCTTCGATACAAAGCCGATTGTATTCAGGGCAGAGAAGACGACGAGGCGATATGCGGTAACCCAGCAATAAACTCGATTCCATCGTCGCCATAGAATCAGACGCTTTTGTTTTTTTTTTGTTGTTTTTGCATTCATTTATTTGTTGCTGAATGCGTAAGAAGTAGGTTATGAAAAAATGCACGGGCAAAAACACCTTTTACGGACGATCTAATTAAACTTTTAGCGGAATACATTTGCAAACGATTTTCATAATTTTCTAATTAAATCTCAATCCGAGGCTGTGCGTGCGTACGCAGTGATTTTATTTATTTTTGAGTATAATTTGAGACTTTTTCAACGCCGCCTCAAGAGATCGCTCCCGTTTCGCTTGAAGAAGTAGGAGGCGTTCCGTAGCTCGAGAGAAACAATCTCTCTCGTCGATTCAATGACCAATCGACGAACTGCATAATCGGAGATTCGGAGAAACAAAATGGCAATGCAACAACAAAAAATAAATCAATAAACATGTATCTTGATTTTGTTAATTTAATCGACTCGCATTCAAATTTTAATCGTCTAATTATCGTTCGAAGTCTTAAATTAGTTCATTTCAATCACATTATCTGTTACATTTGAATGGGATTAATGAGATTTTTTTTTATTTTTAAATTTTCAGAGGTTGGCAAATGTATGTAGTATATGGGCGGGTCTTAATATTAGTTTTTTTTTTAATTTAAATATTTGTTTTGGCAGCATTGTCGTATGAAGTTTCTGTCGTTATGACTTAATCGTTAACGCCGACCCTGATAAATTTTAGAAAAATGATACGAACAATTAAGTTTATTTTAAACTGGAAAGTTTTGTGCTATAACCTCCAAAAGCTATTACACACAAAATTCATGTAAATTGCAGCATTCGCGCGGAATAAATAAAATTTTACCAACAAAAAAAAAATTGGTAAACCGTTCAGAAGATATATATTTATGGCTGTCAGCGTGAACGGTGAGAGCAATTTGCGATTCAATATTGTATTACAAATTGCAAGTAATTGAGTCAATAATTGAGTCAAATTATCGACGGACTTCGAGTGCAGCCGAAAGCAAAGAAGTTACTTACGCGCGTATTATTAAAATAATACGTGCCGCATTTATTTTATTTTTTTTAATTTCTGGTTACTTTTTTTTTGTTTGGGTTGGCATACTACCAGCGGCTCTCAATTACATATCGAGATTAAATTAATAAAACCGAACGAATACCAACACATAAATGTATGTATGACATAAAAAAAAAACTGGTCGACCGCGAAAATAATTACAATATTTATTTCTTAATCGAGGAAAAAAAGTGATTGCTACACTCGCATGTAAAAATACCATCAATGAAACATAAATAAAAATTGTCTCAATGTATAAGAAAAAAAAAACAGTTTAATTGTAGTAAATCACGGCAACTCCATCTCGCGTAATCTAATTATAGCACTTGAACTAAGCTAATAATAACACTACTAATTTTATACGTTTTAATCTAAGATAATGCCTCTAATCAAGCAGACTTTGCTTAATACGAGCAGAAATCAATATTTACTGTGTCAATAAACGAAGTCTCATTCAAATTGCAATCGTCAACAGACAATTTTATAAATAGTAATTAGATTATCAAAATGTTCATGAGTACAAGAAAACCAATGCAGCCAAAATAAATATTTAAATTAACAAAAAGTAACTATTATATTTAATTTTGGTGCCAATTGTAAAAGAATTCTAAATTTTTACTATATTTTTAGACCACACACAATACAATAAAAACCAAATGCATTTATTACAATTTAGTTTTGTTTGTGACTGTTATGATGATTATATAATAATTGTTGAAAATTGTGGTCATTATGTGAAGGAAACTGGAGTTTGCACGTAAAACTAAAACCTTGTGCTAGGCAACCAACAGATCGCCAGGGTCGACCGATGCCTAATCTGATTGTTCACGTAACGAAATTCTTCGTACGCAAATATAGAAAAAAAAAGAATGTCGATTATTATTATTATTATTTTCGGTGCGTTCACTTTCTAAACATCGGATTGCAATTAGTAAGTAGAATACAAGAAAAAAACAGCTTTTGGCAGCGTACAATTCGCGATAAATCACGGGCTTGTCGCCCGGGGCCCGAAAGGCCTTTCCGGGGCTCTTTTCAATTTCACACGTTCCTTATGTAAACCGTTGAGTAACGATAGAGAAAGAGAGAGAAAAAAATGAGAGAGAAAGAAAAAAAATGGGATATGGCAAGTTAATGAAAGGCCGAGAGTTGCGAAGGTTGCGGCGAAAAAGTAAATAATTATAATTTGCGAACGTTACGGCAGAAACAACTTAAAAAAAACCGCTACAAAGTCGCTTTTTATAAATTTCAACGATAATAATCGATGAAGAATGTAAAACGATTGCATTTATTATCGTTCAGTTTAATGTCAATTTGACAGCTTGACGTTGACATTTGTGGTGTCCGCGCATTTGTACGCGACATCTCTCGCAGCAACGCGCATTACACAATAATACTCGTCTGGAAATAACTTGTATTATTGTAATGAGTTTCGTTGTAATCCGAGGAATAACAAATCGTCGGCCATTTGAATAACAATGTCAAATCGAGCGACTTCCACAGACTTGTTGTACCTCTCCTCTATATGTTTATGTACCAGTTTATTCGTTTCTTTTCGTATTTATTTATTTATTATTCCATCTGTCCGCCGCTCGGTTTGTTGGGTTTTCGCTTTCGAGGCACGTAACAGTAGCGGTTCTATTTAATTGGATTAATGACACACATTTACACGTGTTCCAAAAATCGATTCAATTTATTATCCAATTCCGTATAAGAATTTTGAATATTCTCATCAACATCGTCCAATATTGACATCTGTCACATTTGACACTAGGTGTCAAAATTTTTGCCTCGCGACCCAACAAATTTGACAGCTGTCATTGAAAATTTGACGCGACCCAAATGTTATGTTGAGAAACGCCCGTAATTAGACGACGAGTTCGTCGGACACGTACATTTCGTATGAAAACATGTAGGAAGAGGCTTCAACATGTATATATATATCGGCTATATGAGCAACAATTTTCTAATTATACGTCGTTATGTCGGCGGCTAAATATAGCCGCCGCGCGAGTCGAGAGTCATTGTCGCGTGTACTTGTTGCATTGTTATCAGTCGACTGGAATGACTGCCGACTGACGAATTGCGGAATTGCAGAATCAAATTTCTGTAATAACTTCACTTCGCAAACGCCCTGAACGCATTACACCAGTGATTTTCAACAGGTGTGCACCGCAGCAAGTGTGCGTTGATACGAATAGAAAATAATTGAAATAACA